TATATATATATATATCGATTTTGAAAAACTTTTTGAAGAATTTAAATACTCGAACACATGTTTACCCAATTATGAAATCCCAAAATGTATCTTTATTTTACGAGTACAACAACAAGTTCAATGTCAGTATTGAATTCGATGGAGAAAACGCGATTGTATTTATCATGTGACCGCAAATGAATTTAACCCTATTTATGATTTTTTGAGAACACAATAAAAAAAAAATTAAGAGCGATAATTTGGAAAAGTTCTTTTATATTACTCAACTCATAAACATTAGAGAAAAGCAACACAAATCTTAATAAAAATTTCAATTCTTATTTATCAATTTCAATTATTAAATTGCAAAAAGAACGCAATTTCACTTGAATTAAAAAAAAAACCAACTTATTGCCAAAATATAGAGTTTGAAATAATTTATAAGAGCTTCAGAAACAACAAATAACGAAATTTTTTGATTGAAGCAATAAATTAAAATAAAAATAAATCGAAATTTTTTGAAACAGATTGAGTGCAGACGATTTTCTTTGAAATATAATAGTGATATCTGAACTAGATGACGCGCATATAAAAATAAATTTTTAGAACAAAATGAAAACACAAATTCTTTGAAGATCATTCGAATTTACTATGGAAACATTATATTTTCAAACCTTTTCTATCCATAATGTAGCATGCGGGAAAAAATTAAATTAATGTTCTTTTATAAGGAAAATCATCACGATTCCTTTTATTCGAAACGTATTGATAATTTTCATATAACATTCTTCGTCTAAAACTATAAAAATCCCACCACTTTGAAATTATAGGAATATTATCAAGCTATCGTTTTATTTTTATCGAAAATATGTAAATCCACGGAAGGTAAAGAATTCCATACAGAACCCTGTTTTATAAAGAATGAAAAGGACGCCATCTTGCATTCTCTTTCTAATTGAAAATTCCACGCACATAGGCAAAATAATCCTGGCACACAGACAATAATAGTCTCGTGAACGACGTCATGAAAGATATTAATATTTAAACGCAAGCAAGCTATTGTTTTCTCATTAGTAGTTAAAAATTTAAAGACTTTTATAAATTTTTATTTAATATATTCTAGTGTGTGTGTGCTTGTTAAGAATGAATATTTAATATTGCTAAATCACAAATGAAGTATTAAAAATTACAACATTTTTAGCGTTTAAATATAGAATTCAAACTAAAAACGCTATTTTAAATGGGAACATGTTAATATACAAATATGTTTCAATTTCACTAACGTAAAGAACGTGTTTCTTTATTATACTGAATCAATTATTAATTGTATCAATTATTATACTGAATCAATTATTATTTAAATCCATAAAATATGTTTTATATTTTTCTTCTGTATTTAACATACATGGAGTTAAAGATTCAACTTACATTTTAAAGAAAATTAATAGCACACTTACTGAATGCTTGTAAATATTGAAGATTCATTGTGTTATAAACGAGTATATGATATTATAACACGACTAAATACGAAGGTGGATCATATGTAAATGAGACTTTTTAATTGGCTAAATTCATGTGACGTCATAGTCACATAGTAATAGGTCTATCCACGAATCATTACAAAGAATCCACGGAAACTGATTTCTTTGTAATGTTGTTCTATTAAAAACTTTCTCCCGAAGAAGAAGACACGGTTTATGTAAATGAAGGCTTATATTTAAGCATCAACTTTTAGGTACGAGAAAGAGAGAGAGGTTAGGAGTCAGATGATAGAAATTAGTGATCAGTGTAAAGTAGTGAAAGCAAGTCGAGAGTGGCTCGACGATTAATTACTTAATATATAAAATTGTTAATTGATGATTTAGTCACTAAGTTATACTTCAATAATATCGACCAGAGGTCGAATAGTTCAGAAAGAAATTACTGTAATTCGGACCGTGAGTAATCAAAGAGTTCTAAGCGTAAGTTAATTGAATCATTATAAATTATTAAGTATCTTTTATGCCGTGTAGTTGCTCCTATACTTTATAGTAGTGTGCATTTACTACCCTGGGCTGTTGAAATTTAGTAAAGGAATAATAAACTATAATTGTTCTGACTATGGCTGATCTTTATTCTAACTCTCAAACACCAATGAACGGGGTGGCCCGTTCCTTACAACATGATCAATACAATCACATGTTTCCAGCCAATCAGTGCAAGCGCTTAGCTGGTGTCAATTTTTGGTTTTTGCTGAGACTTTCTTTTAAAAAATATATGTATTTGTCAACAATAATAACGAACACAAGTCAATGGAATATATTTGATTTTAAATACACGTATATAATATACGATTTATTATTTTTTTTGTAACTCCAACACCGTTCAACTGATCACTATGAAAATCGGCATGTATGTGCATTTTTTTTGTAAGGAAGGTTTTTGTGCTATTTTCTTTGTTGCAACTCCCCACAAGGTGGCGCTACAGCATATCAACTTCTGCACCGTTCAATAAATCGTCAAGTTGCCAACAGGGTCACCAAAAGTGATGCCAACTTGATTATATAGCACACATTTCGCTATGTTTTCATTGAATCGCCATTATAATGTAAGGAACGGCGTTGCTTGCGAATATTACAATTTTAACATAAAATAAATACAACAGAAAGTAATATTAACGTTATACTTAAAAATACAAATTATTTACACTATTTTAAACATTCATTACACAAAACTTGTAACAATATGTTACTTTTGCTGATCAGAGATACAAAAAGCCTTTTTTTTGTTTAGTTTACAATTTATGAAAAAAAATTAACCCATTAAAAACTTCTTTATCCTGCAATCTGTATTGTTTAATTTCTCAATTCACCCGTGCGAAGAACGGGTGTACCAGCTAGTTATATCTAAATTTTGAAAGTAGAACATTAAGTCTAATGTTAGTTTCGATGTGATTATATTTACCACGTGACTGTCTAGGATTTAGCCTATAGCAGCAAACGATTTTTGCATATTTTGTTGTAGCAACCATAAGTTACTTAAAATTCAGATAGCTTGATTCTTCATATGTTTGTTTCTTTAGTCGCTCGATGAATAATACTACGTACATGCTGCAATTACACAGCGAAAAAATTATAAAACTTTCTACGAAACAAAATGTCATATCTGTTAAAATTTAGTACGGTTTGAATGCTCAGTTCGGTAATTATATCTTATCGAGGTCTTAGGTATGCAAATGGCACAAGGTGTTTTAAAATGGTTGCGAAAACATGGAAAATTAGTATCATAATTGTCGATAGAGGACAAATATAACTAGAAAGAAAAATCAATAAATTTGTGACTTTAATCTTAGTTGATCGATGAAAAACTGATAACGAAATTCTAGAAATAATAGACATAAGTCACGGAAATCAAGAACATATTGTGTGAAGTTTTATTTTATTTTAAACAAATATAAGGTTTTACACTCATGTCCATAAATTAAAGATAATGAAGTTCAGACAAAGAAAGAGGCAGAAGCAAAACAAATTTGACTTATTTGTAAAGTCTATTTATCAAACAAAAGGTAAAGAGCAAAAAAGATGCTATATGTTTGACATAATTAAAAAAAATTGCGATTTTTACTCCCTGGAGCAAATTTAAAAAAAAAAACCCTATTTACAAAAAACAGTATAACATGGTTAGTAAGATGGTTAATACGGAGTATGTCTCCCGGACGATGCAATACAGGCCTTACAATGCTCAGGCATGCTGAGTATCAAATTATCAATTTGATCTTGGGGAATATTACACCACTCATCAAGCAATGCCCTCCGAAGCTCCGGTAGAAAGGAGGGAGGGGTTGACGGGCTGCAATTCATCGGTCAAGTATATCCCACACATGCTCTATTGGATTCAAGTCCGGTGAGTATGCTAGACAATCCATACGGGTGATATCCTCCGATTGAAGGCATTCGTCTACAATGTTTGCACGGTGAGGACGGGCGTTGTCATCCATAAACAGAAATTCAGCGCCCATGGCGCCCCGAAACAAACGTACATGTTGTTCCAGAATGACATCCCGATAGATGTGGCCTGTCATCGTTACACTCTGAACATGCAGGTCAATTCTGGAACCAAGAATATTTCCTCCCCAAGCGAGCCATGCAGCACCATCGTAACGGTGTCGGTCAATGGTGTTCTTTTGGTGGTAACGGGTACCTGGCGCTCTCCATATTAAAGTCCGGCGAGAATCAGACTGCAAACTAAACCTGGACTTGTCGGAAAACATCACACAAGACCACTGTTGTGGTGTCCACAATGCATGCTCTCCACTCCAGGTTAATTGCAGGTGACAGTGAGTTGCGGTAAGTGGAACACATCTGACAGGCCTACGAGCATATAGACCAATGTGCCCTAAGCGTCTGTACACGGTCTGCCTTGAAACTGTCATACCGGTAGCTTAAGAGAGCTGACGGTACAGGTCTGATGCTGTGCTCCGTCTGCTTCTTTTGGCAGTAACTGCCAAATACCGGTCCTCATTCGACGTTGTAACTCGGGGGCGACCTGTGCTGTAACATCTACTCTTATTATCATCATCTTGGAATCGTTGCCAAAGCCTGGAGATGACACTCTGGGCGATTCCAAGTTCCTCGGATACTTCCAGCTGGGTAGGTCCACATTCCAGTCGTCCAAAAATTCTACCACGTAAAAAATCATCCAAATGCTTCCTTTGTGCCATAACTGTGCGGTAATTGCACTGAAAGGCTTTTAATTTTTTTATGTTATATAAATATATATATATATATATATATATATATATATATATATATATATATATATATATATATATATCTTGTTCAAATTTTCAATCGTTTATAAAATACTTTCTATTCATCCATTCAAATTCAAATGCATTTTCTAAAACTTGTAGTAGATAACACTTGATGTTAATACAGTTTTTTCAAATTTTAATTCATTAATTAAAATAGAAAATAAGTAAATAATAACAAACAAAAATAATAGTTCCAACAACATATAAAGAAAGGAAAATCGTTCGTTGTATCCCTGTAGCGCAATGAACAGCGCGTTGGACTTGTAATTCAAAGGTAGTGGGTTCGAATCATCCCATCTGGGATGGCCTAATTTCTGAGAATGTGATTTCTTTTTTTTATAAACTATTTAATTACAACAATTAAATCTAATTAATGAATAATTAATATCAAACAAAATAATAGTCCAACATCATATATAGGAAGAAAAATTGCTTTCTATTTTGTCACTTAATATTGTGGTTCTGTCATATACATATTTATATAAAATTAATTATAACTATTTAATAAAAAGTAACTAAAATAAAAATTTTCTTTGTTGACCTAAGCAGGAATTCACTCAAATTTTTTCATATATACATTACTCATTTACTTGAATTTCAATTTTAGACAAAATTTGGGGTATCATTACACCCTTGAAATAAAGCAGTCCAGAATGACACATTGTAAACAAAAAATGAAACTGATCTTCTAAAGGCAAAAAAAAAAAAAAAAAAAAAAAATGACTATTTGATAGAAAGTACCTCATTTAATTTTTAGGAATTCGAAAAGAATTATGAACGTCGATTTTCTTTAACATCGACGTATAATTTATATTACTCTGCACTTTAGAAGAAGGTTAAAGCAACACACACAATAAACGTCCGGCATTTTCAACAGATATTTGGTAAGTACATTTTTCAAAATAAGAAATAAATAACTATAATGTGTTGACCAGATCTTCATTGTTTATACTCAGAAGAACGGGGAACATTAAGTTGACCACTACATAACAATTTTTTTTAAAAAAGAGGAATTTTTAAGAAGAGGGAAAAATTTACGGAAGAGTTCAAACGTGCAAATTTTAGTATCTTTGATTTTTACCTTAGAAGCGGAATTCTTTCATGAAAAAAAATCTTGATTGACTGATTTCAATTCTCACTACGATTTAGATCATTTCTTGAGATGGAAAGCGTTTGATAGGTTCCAAACTGACCAGACTGAAGATTCCAGACGACACGGTACCCTCATTAAGATTCCGGGCAAAAGTTGCTTAAAATCAAAGGGATTTGTCGGCAAAATATGAACACAGACGATTACTAGACAGCGTCTTTGCATCTAGTTGTTGAACGTGGGACAAAGCGTTTTAGATAATCTTTAAATAGATGACTACTCGGTGATTACACTCGATGATTAGTCGCAGGTACAAATCTGTTTTCTAGGTCAAAATACATCATTCTTAATCGCAAAAGAGCGTGGATTTATTCTTTTTAATGATGAATTGATAATGTAAAAATTGATTCTCAGTGAAGTTACTTTCGGAGTGTTGGAAAGTTAAAATCATATTTTTATTTACAATTTGAGATTTTTACATTTTCTTATTGTATAGATTTTAACCGTTCTAAAAATACCTTACTTTAAGCTCTAGGGAAGTTAGAAGCCCTTAAAACCTATTTCTAAATAACCGATGAAACTGGGTCACGCCCATTTGAATAACGAAAAATGTAAACAAAGTACTTCGTTTTTGCTTAAAAATTGAACGTCTGATATAAACCAAAATATGTATCTTTTATTGCATAAATGAGCCCCTCATTTCTTTTATTTCCTAGCCGATTAGAAGTTCCACTGTATACATTAAAATCAATTTATCTCAAAATGTAAATTTTGATGTTCGATGTACCTTTTTTGAGAAACTACTGTTCACAGGTATGTCCCAATTTTTTTGGGATATATTTATAATGATGTTTAATATATGCTGAAGTGAGCTTTTTGTTAAAAACTCAAAAATTTATTTTTTACAAATTTTTAATATAAAAAATGGGTAAAATTTTGCAATGTTTGATAAAATATTTCATAACTTATTAAAAAATTCAAAATTAGCTAAAATTTCATTTCAGTATAATGAGAAAAGTGTACTTTAATTGTATGAAAAATTTCAAGCTTGTTTTATATAACATATTTTGAGAAAAGATACATCGAAAACGGCCAATTTAACATTGTCAGTATATATAGAGAGATAGGTTTCCAACTCCCCTTAAGAGATTTTGAATTTGGAGGCAACTATAGGGATTCACTGTACTTTCATAGAAAAAGGAAAATCAATCACGAAAAAAAAAATCAAACCATTTCAGAGGTTTAAAATTCTTTTGTGGGCGCTATCAAATCATGTGTTGGAAAGATATATTCTAATACACAATTCTAATACAGATTCTGTGATCACACAGCGTTATAAAAATGAGAGCCATGAAATTAAATATCAAACTAAGAGCTTTTTTAAAAAAATTATATTGTGACCAGAGGTATGTTCTTTAAAGTTTGTCTTAGTAACATATTACTAACAGATGTACATTATTTTTAATGCATAAAATATCATATTAAATAATAATGATGGTATTGTAATAGGTATTCATATAAAATATCGACATCAATTTAAAGCGCAATTAAATACCCCCCTTTTTTTTTTTTTTTAAAAAATGCAAGTTTAAAGAATATAATGATGAATCACAGTTCATACATGTTGAAATTAAAGTAGAAATTAGGAGAAAATGATAAAAACTATAACGGTAAGATTTCAACGGATAGCCTAAATAAAATTAAATCGGAAGAAAAAACAACTTGGATCGCATAAGTAGCCTTATGACATTATTACATGCGAGGAATGGCAAAGATTAGTAGCAGTTTAATCTTGAATCTTTTGTGAGAAATTTCCTTGATCACGCGTTGAAGATTTTATCAAGACTTTCCTTGTGATTAAAACATCCTATACAGTAAGGCTTTTTTTTAAAGGGAAAGAAGATTCAAAACTAGATTTAAGAGAAGAAACGGAAAAAAAGGTAACCCAAAACTACTTTGTAACTCAAAATTTCTTTCTCATGAGCAGGGGCATAGCTACCACCGTATCAATGATACGGGGCCCCCCAACATGTGTAACTACAGTCCCATTAACAGGGCTCTCATATTTGAAAAAGGCCCCCTCAGAGCCAGTGCTCTTGAGGTACGTTAATCTAAAAACCAGCACACACTGTTGTAACGAATCTGTACGGAACCTTTCCACTAATATTCTTAGGCGTCTTTTTGGGGATTATAAATTCGCGTATATATATTTCCAATCAACTCCGAGAAGCGAACGGGATATGCCAAGTAGATAGGGTATTTAAGTACAGCGTTGCAAGCTAGCAAAGATGAAGGCTATTGAGCCAGCAACAGCAGAGACAACCTTTAGAGCAGGGGTGGGCAGACTTTTACATGGAACGGTCTACTTTTAATTTTTTCAAGGTGTTGTGGTCCACCATGCGACGTAAGTGCGATGAACAGAAAAAAAAATTCAACACAATATTTGTATTATAACAATAATAAATACAGAGTGTACTTACCTAGATAGCTACAGCGGAAAAACTTACTCTTTTAAAACTACGTTTTAAGTAAAATACAAACTGCGAACATAATAATTATTGACATAAATTTAATATTAAATGATGCATTTTCAAACAATTCATAATACATCACAGATTAAATAATTTTCATTTAAAATTAGTTCTTATAGCTATAGTCTCAATAGACGACTTAATCTTCATTTTATCCGCCCCAATCCTGAATACCTTGGTATATAATTACTAACTGCTAATCTTACCCTGTATTCTAAGTGGTCGTCTGTGAAACGGGAATATGTTGTCTTAATTATATTCTTCGTTGAAAATGTAAATTTACACTGGTAGGTAGAGCGAAAGAGCGATGTTAAATAAATTGCAGCTTTTTTAAATTTGGGATACTTTACTTCGACTAATAGATTCCAAAAGTTATTCTTCACAAAGTACGCCCTTCAGAAAGAGAAAAGCTTCGTTTTCCTCGAGAGCTAAAGAGAACATGTAACATATATTTAGTGATGGGAGGCCGCCGGTCCCCGAGATACAATTGCAGTTTTTATATTTGCCCTGTTTACAGGAAATAGGGATTACACAGGAATGTGGGTGCGTCTAGGTTCAACGGACCTTATGGCCGGCAAGGTTGTGTTCTTGCGCGGACTGTTGAGTCCAATCAGGGTGGTAGATTTGACGGTAATGAGTCCGTTGCGGATTCTTTTCGAAGTGGTGCGGTCAGCTTTAAAACGCACGTACACGCCATTTCTCGAGGCCTTTTCCCTCTTACGTCTGCCAGAAAAACCTCCTGTCTGTAAAGCGAACTCGCTGCCCGGGGTCAACCCCTCGTCCACTCCTTTCCTCTCAGATAAGTACCACCCTTGTAAATTTTAACGTTGTGTTCAGTATGTTAATCAATAAATATAATTGTTTACCACTATACGATCGGACTATTAATTTAGTGTACAGTAATTTGTCTATAGAAGATTAGTGTTTAATTTTAACTTAAGTCATGATGCGATGTGAAATTAAGAAACTGGGTTCAAAAAGTAATAGAATTTAAACGAAGATAAAAGAGCGTCGCATCAATAGTTATATTTTTTACATCAACACTACTAAACGGATAACCCATGAATGCAACTTTTGTGTGATTCTAGTCTAGTAAATTCTAGAAAACGTTTCTCAAATTTGGGTTGGAGTTTTATTCACGGGTGTTTCTATTATCTTGATATAAGCATCCGTGTTTCTTTTAGTATGCGCGTCTAAGGTTTTATGTGAAGGCGGTCACCCCAAAATGTCTTGGCGGTCCACCTGTTGACCGTGATCGACTTAATGCCCACCCCGGCTTTAGAGGATTCAATTGGATTACGATAGTGACGAGTTACTGCTAGTATTCTGCGATGGAAGTTTCAAAGTTAATATACTTCTGAAGATATGAAAGTATTACCAGGTGATATTATAATATAGTTTATTATCGCTTAAAACAAGAGCTAGTTTAAGTGAATGAAAGCTAATAATTCGAGTCACATGCATTTCTCGGACCTCCTATTTCGGTAGACCTTATTGGTCTTACGCGTAGTTATTGATTAATTTCACATTTCGTAATTTAATTTAATATTAAAGGTAAATCCCTTTTGTTTGACGTAACATAAAAATATTATGTCATTAGAGTTTCTAACATTTGAATCAATTGAATAAATATAAGTTATTATTATACAAATGGCTCTTAGTGATTCTTTGCCTCAAATTAATC